TTCACGTGATGAGCCAAAAGCATTTTCACAGGCTGTTTTAGATCCAAAGTGGCGGGAGGCTATGCAAAGGGAGATCAGTGCTTTAGAAGAAAATGATACGTGGACCTTGGTTCAACTGCCGCCCGGAAAGAAAGCAGTAGATTCTAAATGGGTTTATAGAATCAAATATCTACCTAATGGTGATGTGGAGCGCTACAAGGCAAGGCTGGTAGCCAAGGGCTTCACACAAGTCGAAGGAATTGATTTTCATGAGACATTTGCTCCAGTTGCCAAACTCGTAACTGTACGGTGTTTACTGGCTGTTGCAGCCAAACGCAATTGGGAAGTACATCAATTAGATGTTAATAATGCTTTTCTCCATGGAGACCTTTCAGAAGATGTTTACATGCGTGTGCCCCAAGGATTTACAAAAAGGGGTGACACCCGTGTCTGCAAGTTGCAAAAATCCCTTTACGGCCTACGTCAAGCGTCTCGTAATTGGTACCACAAGTTTACTCAATCACTTCTGAAAGTCGGTTTTCGTCAGTCGCGGGCGGATCATTCTCTGTTCATTTTCGAGCAAGGTCAGAAGCACACATTTGCCCTCATATACGTCGATGATGTCATCCTTGCCGGAAATGATCCACCTCATATCAGCAGAATCAAGGAATACTTGAATGATCAATTTAGCATTAAAGACTTGGGTGCATTAAAATATTTCCTTGGAATCGAGGTAGCTCGTTCTCCCGAAGGATTTGTGCTAAGTCAACGGAAATATACACTTGACATCTTAGAAGAAAGTGGTCTTCTAGCCGCCCGCCCCAGTCAATTTCCCATGGAACAAAATTTGAAACTTCGACCGGATGATGATAGTCCACCTGCAGATGCTTCCTCATATCGTCGCTTGATTGGACGTTTGTTGTACCTTACAGTCACCCGTCCTGATATTGTCTTCTCAGTCAATCAGCTCAGCCAATTTCTCAGTCAGCCACGCCAGTCTCATTTTGACGCTGCAGTGCGTGTCCTTCGTTATTTAAAACAAACCCCGGGGCAAGGAATTTTCTTATCCGCAGACAGTGATTTCTCCTTAAAGGGTTATTGTGATGCAGATTGGGCAGGATGCTCTTACACTCGTCGCTCTAGCACTGGATACTTCATCACCCTTGGCAGTTCGCCAATCTCTTGGAGAACAAAGAAACAAACAGTTGTTTCTAGGTCTTCCGCAGAAGCAGAATACCGCGCCATGGCTGTTACAGTCAGTGAAATCTTATGGTTACGGTGGTTACTTCGTGACTTAACAGTTAATCAGACTAGTCCTACATCCCTTTTTTGTGACAATCAAGCCGCACGACATATTGCTCTTAACCCCGTTTTTCATGAACGTACCAAACATGTGGAAATGGACTGTTACTTTGTTTGTGAACGTGTTGCCAGCGGTGAGATTCATCCATGTCGTATCTCTACAACAAACCAGGTTGCTGACATTTTCACCAAAGCACTTGGCACTGATCGTTTCCATTTTCTGAGGGGCAAGTTGGGTGTTTGCAATCTTCACACTCCACCTTGAGGGGGAGTATTGAGAATAATGGGACCCGTACTATTTCTATTATCATAATGTGTAATGTTACCCTAGTACGTAACATGTGTGTATGGATTGCATGATGTGTGTGTGGGGGGTTACATGATATGCATGGCCCTCTATTATTCCCTCTCTATTATTTTACATCCACCATTTGTAGTATATATGCATGATGCATGTCACGCAAGCATGTAGAGAGAAAATATGAAGTGTTATTTCTTCTACATGAAATACAGTGCTCTTGATATTAGTTCTTATTTTTATCATTAATCTTATTTTTATCATAGGCCAGATGTGGGTTTCCTTTTCGTGACATCGCCCGTTTGATTTCCAGGTCAAACATTATTTTCTAAATTTCAATTTTCTTTGCAAAATAACTTTGTCCCATACGTAAAACACTTTGTGGGTCGATGACATCACTCTCATTTAGAAGATGTGACAAGTTCAAAAGTCACTCCAATCAAAGATGTTGACATTTAACATAGAACAAATGTTTTAACAACATTTAACATAGAACAAATGTTTTAACAGGCTAGCTAAAAAAACTGTCCCATCCGGAAGAAAAGTAGTATTCCTCCAAACTTTCTATATAACTCTCTATGAGGCACAGATGTATATGTGCAACCTCCCAACCAATCACAGTGATTGAGCTTGGCCAGGACATTGCCTCATAGGAATAGATTGTCACATGAGAGGATTTGAGTTCCACTCCAAACAAAAGGCTTGAAATGAAATTTGACTCTCTTTTCATCCGATACTATTTGGTTTTTGGGGCCCTTAGAGATGAGGTGCCATGATTTTCTTTTTTTACTGATTGAGCAAGGTACGAAGAGTTAATGGGCTTATACGGCTCAAACTTCTATTGATTCATAAATAAAACAACATCGAAATGAAACGGATTATTATTATTCAATAATTTTTACATACTTATTTATTAAAATTTTTTACACTTGGATTTAGCATAACCGGCCCAAAAAATCGGTACCAAATAAATTGATACCTGCTCCTGAATGGTTCGGTTTTGGTTTCAATTTTTTGAATAATCAAAACGCCAGTTCGGAACTATGATGGAGGATATCAGTTCGAGACTCGAATAGAACCCAAATTTATACAAAAATCTAATCAAAGTCGGTTGGGGTGTTACTTGACATTAGTGGCAGCACGCCGCCATCTCGATCAGTGACACTTCATCTCCTAAATATTGACTCCCTGCCGCCCTTACTAGTGACTCGAGCATCCCTCTGCTACCTCTCATCTTCTTCTGTTGTGGGTGGCGGTCGGTCACTGAGGTAGTGGGATCATCGATGACAACGAGTCAATGAGTATTAGGGACATTAGGGCAATGAGTTACTATCGTGTTGTCAATCACTAAGGCGTCAAAGTTACCAATAGAAACAAATAACACTGGAAATTAAAGGGCGACATGGCGCATGGACCGAGGGCGGGTGTCACTGTATGGAAAGGGGCGGGGCGTAATGGAAACAAACACTACATCATTCCAAGATAGTTGCAAATTTTAAGTTTGCTAATTTTATGCATCCCAAAACATTTTAGCAATTTTTTAAAAAAGTGATTTTGTCTACCAAATTTGTTAATTAATAAACTATTAGGTACTTTTTTTTACAATAATATCAATTCATTTAAAATTTTTAAACATCTAAAAACCTTTAAAATGTTTGTTAATCCGTACCAATGTGTATTACGATCATAGGGAGATATAATTCAAATACCCCAAATTTTGAAGGAGTGTGATGCAAACATTCAAAACTTGCATTTGTAATTTCAATATTCTCAACTTTATATAAAATGTTATGTTACCACCATGAGCATGTAATTTTCACCATAAATTATGACCATAAGTTTTAAATTAATATATGATCGTGCTCCTAAAATAATTTTTTTGTATAAAATTTAGGGTATTTAAACTAAATATGGAAGTTTTTTTGGATGGATTTTTTTGTCTCTATTAATATCTTTTCAATAATTCAATGTAAAATGACAACATTCTTGATTAAGAATATATGTCAAAATGATATCATTTAACCGCAATTATTTGAATTTGATTGGATGTTTTGTAATTTGAGTTATTTGAATTGTTTTTCCATGGCTTAGATTTAAGACTTATAGAGACATCATCATCTATGTACTATTCTGTCACAAAAACAACTTCACAATCACTATTCATTGGTCAACTTGAATCACTCTTAATCTTTTACTTTATATACCAAATTTTTATCAAATTGAAATTTTCTTGATCAGACTTTATAGCGGTTTTAGTGTACTTTCTAAATATGTAAATTTTATTTACTAAAAATAATTCGAGTGTAAATAAGGATCAAGTTGTTTTATGGTCAATCAAAATAATTGAAGGTGAATAAGGAAGTTAATTTTGGGACGGAGATAGTACTTGATCACCAGCAGGCTTAGGGGTGGTTCGGTACGGTATACCTTATATTTTTTCTCATACCTTTGCCGTACCAAAACTTTCGGTATGCATACCTTTACCTTACCGAAGTTTCGGTATACCGAAGTTTTGGTTCGGTAACGGTACGGTATCGGTAAATTACCGTGCATGTCTCCCAATACAAAAAATTATCATAGACTAACAAAATATACTAAATCGTTATTACTAACAACATATTAAATCTATTATTAAAATGTTACGAAATACAATTAATAATCTACTGATGTCAATTCGATATTGAACAATAATTATTATTAGTATATTTAAGCAGTTCAACATACCACATATTAAAAAGTAACACATTCTCCTAAAATAACTTGAACAATATAGATATAATTAAATCAATAGTGATCTCTAACAAAAATAAATAAAACTATTCAAACAACATGGATATAAAATCATTTATTTCTAATATGATATTGTGTATTTAGTCACTTTTATAATTTTTTAAAAATTAAATAAGACTTTCGGACAAAGTTGTGTGTCTCGACTCGCTGAATCCCTATGTAGATACGCTTGTCACATAAGTGTATCTCTCTTCACTCGTCAGCTACTTAGCGGCCCAGCCATCACGACTTGCAAGCTCTTGGAACAAGATGAACTTATTTCTCGACATTACTCATTAGTCATTTAAGGTTAGCGTAGTAGAAGCCTATAAGGTTATAGCGGGTTTGAGAAATTGGGCCTTTATTTTTGTATTTTTGTATTTGTAACCAAAAATACAAATACAACAGTAATTGTTGAGTATTAATTTTGGGCTTCAAAATTGTAATGTATATCTACAATATATTAGAATTAAAAGTAATTGTTGAGTAGGGAGTCGGTACGGTATTATACCGGTATACCGCGTTATTAGAAAACATTTTTACCATTACCGTACCGAAATAGACCGGTACGGTATGATACGGTACTGAAAATGACGGTATACCAATATTTCAGTATTTTCCGGCATTTTCGGTACGGTAAGTGCGGTATAACGATATTTCGGTATTTTTGCCCACCCCTAGGGGCAGACTACCAGTGAACACTCCAACAAATCTGCTGTTTCGTATCCACTTGGCGACCTCATACGGAATATACATATACTGGATTAGGAATCCGGGTCTTCCGCTTGCTGCAGACCGGTAAATCATATTGCTTTTAATTGACTTGCTATCAATAGCCAAACCTAATTGTTGTTTAAATGTGTTTCGCTTACTTGGTTCTATGTTGTGATTAGTCTGGGGTTTGGTTCAATTTAAATTGTTCATGTGCGGTTAAAGTTATGTTCTTGATATAGCTTTGTATGGACTTGGGACCATCCGCGTATAACTGAACTTGTTTTCTCTATTAGCATACTTTAATTTTGGAATTATTTTCAATGCTAGGTATGATCCTCACTGGAATCTTTAGAGTTACTTTCTAGTGCACTCCGCTTTTGTGTAACCCACAAAAAACTATTTGGATATAGTTAAAGATATGTTAGGCGTCCACTGCTTGAAGGGCAATCTCGATCTTCTTATCAACACAGAGCAGAGATTAGTCATTTTACATCTGGATTTCTATTATCATATGCAAAAACAATATGATCATTATCTCTGTTCAATTCAATATCACCTATTTCTGCCCCTGATTTGCTCAGAATCTTGGAAGGCAAGAAACCATACTTCTTCACCCCGATCTCTAGTATCTCCCCGAAGCTCTCAGGTAGTAACACAACCTTTCCTGCAATGTCTCCTTTCTCGGGCCAACTAACTGTTACTCTAGTGTGGTAGGGATTTTCTATTGTGGTTTCTTTCACGGGTAAGAGGATTGGTTGGTCAATGCTTTCGGAAGCCGACATTATACCAAACAGCGAGTTGTGGATGCAGTTTGTCCTACGCCTGGGACGGGAGTACGGGATTGCCCCAAAAACAGTCCCTCGATCTGTGTCGTGGGAGGCATTGTGGGCTCACTTTTGAGCCTCACTTTAGAAGCATCCAGCACAATGCACAGCAAATAAAGTGACCTATAAAAATCTTGTAACATGTTATCCAAGAGGGCGTCTGCGTAATGATCTGATAATGTTCTCAGTTATCTGATAATGTTTACATGTGTTTCTGCTGCATTGTTATATTGGAGTCATGGAGTGCTATGGTAGCTATAAGCTATTTGATAAAAATTAACTTTAATGTTTCCAAAATCATTTTGATATGTTTTATTTATGTATTTTGTACGAAATGATGAGAATGGGAAAAGGCAGATTTTGCCTGTGTAAATAAGCTTTGCCTAATGAACCCAGAAATAATTGATTTTCCTATCTTTCTCCAATCTGCGTAGAGAAAAAAAACAGATTGCTTGTGAATAGACAATCACATTTCGTTTTAGAAAATTTTCCAAAACCGTGCAGGAACCTTTCCACACTTGTATTACATTAATGGTCTCTCTGGTTTCATGTGTTTGCATGCAAGACTATAGGGAGAAGGAACTCATACATAATTTTAACTAAATGTGAGAGAACATATATACCCTTCAACTTTCTTTGAGAATAATTAAACACAAAACTTATAAAGATTTAACAAGTGTTCTATTATGTCAAGAACATAGATACATAAATCGCTGGACATGCCGCGAACTCCGTACGAAAACGATCCGGTCGCTTGCCGGAACGCTATGCGGTACGGTCTTGGAGTCGTACCAGTCGCTGTTCAGACTCGTTCTCTATCGATCTTGAAATCGACCCCAATCGATGTTCAACGCGAATTTATTCGCCGTTTCCCTTCGTCGCACAGCTTCAAAACATCGTTTCCGATAGTTTCCCAGATTTCTGTCATATTCCAGATTTCAAACTAAGGTCTGTGACTCGTAGTTTGCTTTTCGTTTCCCGTGTGTAAACAGCGTACATATTTTGATTTTCGAACCAGGCTCCTAGACTCTTAGTTTTCTGATCCCACTCATCAATTTTACTCTCTAATAAATACGAGTATTATAAATTGAGGCAAAATGATTTCACTTTTTTTTTCAAACCAGGATCCTAGTCTCCTAGACTCTTCTTTTTTATTTTACTCTCTTAGTACTGTTTTTCTGATTTGCTTGAAATATTTCTTGAACATTAATGTTTTTGATTTTGTTTAATGTTATGAAATGATGTTACGAAATCTGTTTTTGTTCAATGTTCAAATCTGTATTCTATAATCCAGTTTTATATTTTTATTAGACCAAAGTATTAGGTACAGAGTACCAAACATATGGTACGTCGTACCAAACGCGTACCGAAATGAAGCTACCCCCTCCGTATCGGATACGCTAGATCTAGCAAACCGCGTTCCCGTTCCTCGTTCCCGTTTCGAACCATACCGCGAACCATGTGACTATGGTCAAGAAACAGTTGAGGGTATATATTTTCCCTCATAGATAGTTCATGGGTATATGTGTGTTTTCTAATATATAATCACGGGTATAATACTCCCTTCTTATTTAAATAGCTGCAACATTTTAACTTTTGGCCCATATTTAAATACTTTTAACTCTTTTTCAGGCGGCGTTCCTCCTCACACGACGGCCATCACCAAGAAGATATGCATAGATCTTCTAAAATCCTGCAAATCCATGGCCCAGCTGGAGCAAATCCAGGCTTTGCTTTTCACCCTTGGCATCCATCAACACGTAGACACCCTCCACAAACTCATGGCCTTCACAGCTCACCCTCTCCATGGAAATCTTAGCCACGCCCAAAGGATATTTGATCGCATTGAACAGCCAACCCTATTCATCTACAACGTGATGATCAAAGCGCATACGAAATCGGGTCATTTCCGAAATGCCCTATATTTATTCAACGAGCTTAGATGGTTTAGGATGTCTCCTGATAATTTCACTTACCCCTTTGTCTTCAAGTCCATTTGTGGAATGAGGGATGTTCTTGATGGTGAAAGGGTTCATGGGTTTGTTTTGAAGAGCGGGATTGGATTTGATTGTTATGTGTGTAATTCACTCATGGACATGTATGGTGAGTTGGGATGTATGAAGCGTGTCAAGAAATTGTTCGATGAAATGCTCAGTAGAGATTCAGTGTCGTGGAATGTTCTAATAGCTGGATATGTTAGATGCAGCAGGTTTCAAGAAGCTGTCAGAGTTTATAGGAACATGTTACGAGAGGGGAGCATTAAACCCGAAGAGGCCACTGTTGTTAGTACCCTATCAGCTTGTACAGCACTGAAAAAACTGGATCTTGGTGAAGAAATACATCAGTATGTTAGCAAAGAGCTTGGACATACCATTAAGATCGATAATTCTTTAGTGGATATGTATTGTAAGTGTGGCCGTTTGACTGTGGCTAGGAAACTGTTCGATGATATGCCTACAAGAAACGTTATGTCCTGGACCAGCATGGTTTCAGGATATGCCAGTTTTGGTCAGTTGGAAGAATCCAGAGACCTATTTGAAAAGAGTCCAATAAAGGATGTTGTTTTATGGACGGCTATGATTAATGGGTATGTCCAATCTAACCTTTTTGAAGAGGCAATGTCTCTTTTCCAGGCAATGCAAAAGAAAAACATGAAGCCTGATAAGTACACTCTGGTTTCGCTACTCAAAGGTTGTGCTCAAGCGGGAGCACTGGACCAAGGGGGGCAGATCTATAACTACATGACACAGAACGGAATAACCATTGATGCGGTTGTCGGCACTGCACTTATGGAGATGTACGCAAAATGTGGCTCCCTCAACAAGTCATTAGAAATCTTTCAAGAGCTGTTAATAGGAGAAAAAGATGCCACATCATGGACTTCGATCATCTGCGCCCTTGCTATGAATGGACATGCAAAGAAAGCTTTGGAATTGTTTTTACAAATGGAACAATCTGGAGTAATCCCAGATAGTGTTACCTTCATTGGTGTCTTAACAGCTTGTAGTCATGGAGGGTTAGTAAAGGAAGGTCGGCAATATTTTGATTCAATGATAAGGAAATATGGTGTAGAACCAAAGTTGGAACACTACGGATGTTTGATAGACCTTCTTGGGCGTGCAGGGCTATTAAATGAAGCTGAGGAAATTATAAAAAAATTTATTCAAAAGAATAACAAGGATAAGAAAATTGTTGTTACCCTTTATAGTTCCTTGCTTAGTGCTTGCAGAATCCATGGCGATGTTGATATGGGCGAACGGATTGTTGAAATTCTCGTGGGGATTGAATCGGGTTATTCCAGCACTCATACACTGCTGGCTAACATGTATGCTTCTGCCGACAGATGGGAAGATGTGTCCAAAGTCAGAAAGAATATGAAAGCTTTACACATTAAGAAATTTCCTGGATGCAGTTCAGTTGAGGTTGAAGATCATTCTTGATTTCATAATCAGAGAAGCCAAGTGTTTGTGACATGCTCTTTTATTGAATCCGGTTTCATAGTGTTTGTAAGCTGGAAATTGTATAATTAGGCAACATAGAAAGGAGCTCGAAATTGTACACTAGCGCAACATAGAAAACTAAACTGTTTTAAGCTTTATTCCATGACATATTACTCCCTTCATTAGTTCATTGTTCTTAAAGATGTGAATGAGAGCATATATGAAAAGATGTTATACATGGGCCTTATCACCTGGTTCTACATTAATAGGATTTTGAGTCATGGTTTTATAATGCGTGGGCTGTGGCATGTTTAGATTTCATTGTGAAATTTGGGTTGGATGAATGGATGGCTGGGCCAACACCAGCTCAGTTGAGCAGTCCTTCATAAAATTTCTGATGACCTCATTTGCAATGTGAGTTTTTATAACCGCAGGCTGTATTGTTTCTGGCTGCACACATGACACATCTAGGGAAAGAAAATGGGGACTGCTATAGAGGCAAAATTAAGAAGGAAATTTGTGGGGCAATTTCTCATTCTAAAATGATAACAGCTTGTTCTTTATTGGACAGTCATATTTTATAGCAGATAGAAGATGATCCAATTGGGGTTGAACTGCTGAGGAGTGAGGATTGCTTAAAATAATGGGGTTACTTATCATTCGTCAAACTATGGTCCAAACTCCAAATCCCTTCCATAAATAGAGGAAAATAAAACCAAGAATGCGATGAAGAAATGACCATTCTCTCGAAAGAGTGAGCAACCATTATGACCGATTTTTTCAAGTGCCAAGCATACGAAGTTATAACCATCTAATGCTTGGTTTGCATTTAAATGTAATTTTGCATACGGAGTTTACAGTCCGTATAGTAACTAAAAAAATTAGTTATATACGAGAGTTTAGTCATTTTACACTATTGGGATAATGTTAAAGGTGTGTTAGGCTTCCACTGCTTGAAGGGCAATCTTCTGTCTTCATTGGCAGATCAACACATACCAGAGTTTAGTCATTTTACATCTGGATTTCTAGTATCATTTGCAAAAACAATATGATCATTATCTCTGATCAATCCAATATCATCTATTTCTGCCCCTGATTTGCTCATAATCTTGGAAGGCAAGAAACCATACTTCTTAACCCCGATCTCTAGTAGCTCTTTGAAGCTCTTAGGTAGTAACACAACCTTTCCTGCAATGTCTCCTTTCTCGGGCCAACTAACTGTTACTCTAGTGCGGTAAGGATTTTCTGTTGTGGTTTCTTTCACGGGTAAGAGGATTGGTTGGTCAATGCTTTGGGCAGCCGACATTATACCAAACAGCGAGTTGTGGAAGCTGTTTGTCCTACGCCTGGGGCGAGACTGCCCCCCAAACGGTCCCTCGGCCTGTGTCGTGGGAGGCATTTTGGGCTCACTTTTGAACCTCCCGAGAAAGCTGACCCTACCAGGCGGGTCTTCAGGCACCGTGGTGGTGATGGATTGATCATTTCGGGATTCAAAGAGCGCAGCAATGTCTTCGTGCCCTTGTTGCTCAGCCAGATCTCTTGGGGTCCACCCGTACTCGTCTGGTTTTTGGATGGCGGCCCCGTGATCCAACAGGTATTTGACCATCTCGACGTTGCCTTCACAAACGGCATAGTGGAGAGCTGTCTTCGAGGGGCCATTGGTTCTTGGCAGGGTTACATCCCCACCACAACGGGTGATTTCTTTGAGGAGGTCAAGGTTGTTCTGCTCGGCAGCAATGCATGCGAACTGGCCAACGTCCCCAGCAGATATGTTTGCATCTTTGTTCAACAGTAGCTTGATGATCGGTTCATGTTTTCCCAAGATGGCTTCCCACAAGGGTATACTACCTTCAGAATCTGGATGCATTAAAAGAGAAGAAAGGTTCAAAACACAGGATAGATTAATTAGGATGGAAACATAACTGGTTGTACTGGTTCCTGACCTGCCCAAACCCTAATTGCATGGATTTAGGCAGGGTGGTCAAGCTAGAGGTGGGTCGGGGATGGAATAGAAGAACTCGTAACATGCTCATATTTTAGTGCAATACCCAACATATACCTACATATATTTCATACTGATACATACACATACAGGCACACAAACTTATTTACTAAAAAATACTTCATAATAAAATAAGGGGTTTTTCCTTATATATTACTAAAATTAAACTTATGAACAAAAACACGATTATAGTAACTTACTATTATGGTAAAGTGCATTTTAAAAGTTGCATGTTTTGTCTACTTTTTTGTTCTTTGTTATTTAATTGTCATTATTTAATAAAGTACAGTACAAACTACAAAGTAATATGCACACACACACACACAATGTTTTATCGATCATACACACATATTCTAAATATGTATTACTCCCTTTCTCCCATGCTATACTGGACAAGCTTTAGTTCCTCACGATGGAAAAGGAATTATGTGGTTCAGAAAAAAATTGTGAATTATGTCACTAGAAGGAACACGAGGAATAACATAGTGTATCAAAAGGAATTGAATGGAAGCACCTTTAAGGTTGGGATTGGCTCCAAAGTCCAGAAGATGAATGACACAGTTTTCATATCCTTTGGATGCTGCTATATGCTGATATTAATGCAAAAGGGACAAAGAACACCACAACATAAGAAAGGGTGAAATGAAAAATAAAACGGGATTGTATGGAGAAAAGGAGGGGCTCCAGAATGCTGAGAGTTAGTTAACGCACAAGTGCGGTTCTCCCATTGTTATCTGATTCGTTTGGGTCTAAACCCCTCTTCAACAAGTGATGCAACAGCAAATCGTCTCCTCTTTGCGTTGCGAAGCTAAGGGTCAGAGGTAACTCCATTCTTCCCCTTGCTAACATATTTTCTGTCTCTAAGAGAACTCCTTCCATTATTGGGTCATCCTTCATCTCCTTCAGGTGCTGTTCAATCAGCAAAAGAAAACTGCTAACATTATAGATTCCTGTTGTTTTCAGGTTAATCAGAATAGTCTCTCCTAATGTTTGGTCAAATTACCAAGTGATCCTCAAAATTTTATTCAACTAAAAATTAACTCATTGGATTTTCAAATTTTCTGTGAACATTCTTGAAAAGAATAATACCCTGTAGGATATAATGTTTTTAAAAGGATTTTTTTCAGACAAAATAGATTACTATTAATATTTGTTTAGTCAAATCTTTTGGAGAGAGAGCTTTATATTTTACATTGTAATTGATAAATACATTTAATGGTTCATATCATTATATTCTTTAATCGTTTAGTGCTAAGTAAAAGGGCTGCACATTGAGACCTGAAGAAGATTGTTCATTATTATGGTCCCATCACCAACGTTAGCCTTAATGATATTCAAAAACGTGGTTCGGTTCATCCGTAGAAGTTGGCTCAAACGTTTCGTCCGTACTGTGAATATCTGTGGCCTATAACACAGAACCCCTATCTCGCCACATAGATCTCCCGCTTTTGCCTCCCCGACAACCTGTTCAGTTCCATTTTTAAGAACCAATAGATCCTGCCAAATAATTCATATTTCAGATAGATTTCAACAACACTCTACCTCACTTTTACTTAGTTGACTACTTGACGGTTAAAAATCTAGGACACAAACCAAGAATCTAATTAGACACCGTAAAACATTACTTCGTTAGTTACTTGTTATCTGATACTTTTTTTTAATGAGAAATCAACTAATAATCTAAAACAATAGTTATCTGGAACGATGGTGGAGGAATTAAACAAAAAAAATTCAAAACCTCAATTGTAACATTTATATTTTAAATACAATAAAAAGAATAGTAAAAATTACCACAGCTCCAGTCACTAGAATATAGAAATCTGTGGGAGCTTCATTTTGCAGGATTACATCTTCCTTGGGTGGAAAGTACTCCGGTTTCATCTCCGAAACCTTTAAAAGTGTAACATATTGTAAACATCAATCAAGTTTCATCTAACTCACATAATAATGATAATAGGAAAATATACTTACAAGTTGGAAGAGTAAATCATTTGATACCCCGTGGAAAAGGTAGGCCTTGTCGACCATCGAATAAAAGAGGAAATTTGATATGCTTGACCTGATGGCTTTGGGAAGGGACTCAAGAGTCTCTTGCTGCTGGATCCCCTCTGAATCTGTTCTAAACTTTAAGCACAAATGTGCAAGCATCTGGTCTTGAAGACGAACTGGCAAATGATTCCTTTGAGCAAAACTCGATGCGGCTTGAATGGTGTCTCTCTGTTAGTGGAAATTAGAGATATAGTTAACTCCAGCCCTATAGTAAGAATATAAAAAGTTAAACTGTTTTGGATACTATTTTGTTAGTTCTTCTGCTAGCTTAGATAGTTTTGATACATTGTATTATGTTAATTTTTGGGTGTTCTTAATATACCTACATTTCATCCAAAAAAAAAGTTAAACTGCTATATCAATACAATAAACAACCATATACAAAATCACAAACTTATATTAAGATATAGACTTCTCCCTCCGAAACCTTCCATCCAAATATAACCTAAAGAGTTAATCATCATTCAAAAAATATGATTAGATTTGCTCACAAATTGCCTGGTCTTGCTGGTACCATGGACCACCAAATTAGTCATGTTTCCTATCAAGTAAGAAGTAAGCCCCAAGTTGAAGAGCATGTAGCAAATGTCAAAAATCATCTCCTGAGTATTCACTGCATGTAGGTCACCATAACCAACAGAAGTGAGGGTTGTGATCGACCAATATAGTGAAGTAATGTAGCGAATCCATAGGCTCTTATGAAGGAAGTCTTCCATAGATGCCCCTATCCATGTCATCTTTGGGTCACGATAATCAGCAGCCAGGAGATAATAGGAGCATCCAGCACAATGTACAGCAAATAAAGTAACCTGTAAAAATCATGTATGATGTTATCCAAGAGTGTGTGTGCGTACAGATCTGATAATGTGCTCAGTTATTTGATAATGTTGACATTTTTTTATTGTAGTGCTAGGGTAGATATTTGATAAAAATTAACTTTAATGTGTCAAAAACCATTTTATATGTTTTGTATATGTATTTTGTACGAAATGATGAGAAGGTGAAAAGGCAAATTTAGCTTACACATATAAGCTTAGCACAACGAACCCAGAAATAATTGATTTTCCTATCTTTCTCCAATCTGCGTAAAGAAAAAAAAAACAGATTAGTTGTGATTGGACAAATCACATTGCGTTTTGGAAGTCCAAAACCTTGCAGGAACTTTTCTACACTTGTATTACATCAATGGTCTCTCAGATTTCTTGTGTTTGCATGCAAGACTTTAGGGAGAAGGAACAATACACAATTTTAACTATATGTGAGAGAACAATACCCTTCAACTTTCTTTGAGAACAATTAAACACAAAAATTATAAAGCTTGAATAAGTGTACTATTATGTCAAGAAACAGTTGAGGGTATATATTTTCCCTCATAAATAGTTCATGGATATGCATGTGTGTGTGTTTTCTATGTAATATACACTTCAAGAGTATAGTACTCCCTTCATATTTAAATACTTGCAACACTTCAACTTTTGGTCGTATTAAATACTTGCAACATTTCCTTTTTTATCTGTATGTAAATACTTCCAACACTTTCCCTTTATGTATATTTTTCATTTAAAAATACCTTAATACCTTTAAGTTTGCTACTCGCTTTTGCACTTTTTCATCTGTCTCTCATACTTCTTAGTTCTTACACTTTTTCGATGCTATTCGCTGCCCTACTATTTCACCCAGAAACTCTGTGCAAATGCCTAATGTTGCAAGTATTTATCCAAGGAAGGAGTAGTATATAATATGTATGTTTTAACTTTATAGTGTTTGTGTTTACTTGTTCTAAAAGAAAGTTGAGAGGTATATCTGTTTACTGATGCTCATGGTCATATTTGTTTAATCAAATATGAAGTTTGAGGTCCTCTTTGGTAGCATTAATTGCCTCATTTTATTTTACTCTTTTTTCCTGTTTATCATCTAGATTTTCATGAAAGCTGAAATGTAGCAGCATCAACAGATAATGAAAGAAAAAGTATTGCATGTGTTACTTTTAAGCTTAAGTGGCTAAAATTAATGAAAATGATACTTCAAACTTCCTAGTGATAATCCGCATCATTTTATTTATTAAAATGATGATTAGAAAATTCCGACTATCTCTAATAGCCTTTTATTTGCTTTATGACAGAAGCAGTGTTTCCTAATCTTTTTCTTTTCAAAAAACTCATTCAGCAGATTCATCCATTTCAGGCAAATAAAGCTTACCAAACAAACCCTACAAAAAAAAGGAGCCAAAGAACTTGCCTGGAAAATAAAGCACCGACCCTGCGGAGACGCCAGAGGCGAAGTATATTGAATAATCCATATGATCTTAGAGGTTTTGGCATGATTTTTTTGGCCAGCTCCGAGGGGATTGTGGATATGACATCAAATGCCAACCAAGTACTCCCATACTTCCAAGCAATCTGTTTTCTGTCATCAACTAGAAGATATGTGGTCTTATCCAGGTATGCCACAAAGAAGGTGAGCACTATATCTATTGCATAGATTCCATTGACAACATTGTCAATAATAGACAATGGCCCTTCTGGCTTTTTAAGGAAGCCGAATTCAAAAGGAGACGCCCATGCTGTGTAGATGACCAGAACTACCAGAAAGGTTTCCCATATCCTGAAAACATTGTTGGTTTAGTAGAAAGTGCATGTTGGAACCAGTTTGAGTACAAATGTAATTTTCCTACTTTTAGTGAGTTTTAGGTCACTTTTGGTTCTTCCACGGTCACTTTTTCACTGATTATTAACCCGGATTGTATGTAAATGGACGGTGAGCTACGTGTCTGAAAGCGCCAAAAGTCTCGAGGAACTCATTGTCAAATGCTAAAGTGGGAAAAAAGAATGCAAGGGACTAAGGATGGTAATGCATTTTAGCTCCTGACGTTCATTTGATCGGTTTCTTTCATTTAATTGCTTTTGGTGTACTATTGTGCATTCTTTGCAAATTTTGGTCCGTTTTAGCAACTTATCCTGAGAAAATTTGCATTCGAAGGACCAAAACTGAAAAAGATCCATGGATATGCACCAATAGTGAAAAAATAAAAGCTATAGACCAAAATTGGAAAACGGCAAACTATTAGAATTGAAAAATTGTATTTGTACGGTTTGTACCCACCCTTATATCCATCGGACCGCCACCCTTACACCCACGGATGTAAGAGGCTATTTTTTGTTTTCAAAGTAAGACATGTTTTGGTGGGTATAAGGGTAGGTATAAGTAGGGAAGGAACCGGGCCGGGCCGGGCCTGGGCGTTACCGGTTCTTGAAAAGTGGAGCCTGGTACCGACCCGGTAAGATCTGGTTCCAGACTGGGCCCAAACAGTACCGGACCTGGGCCCGGGTTGCACCTACAAATAACACATTTAATTACTCCGTTTTTTTAAAAAAATAGCGTTGGCCGGGCCCAAAAACTCAAGCCTGAAGCCCCCGTTCTACCATCTGTCCGGGTCCGCGAAAACCGGGTCGGGCCTAAATGGTACCGGTCTTGGGCCGGTACTGGGTCAGGCTGCCCGGGCCCAATCCATCCCTAGGTATAATGATGGCCTGATGGGTATAAGGATCTGTACACATAGTAGGGCTGACTAGAATTTTGTTAGAAATTGGTAGTAGACTAGTAGGTATGAACTTTTGTAAATGATTATCAGAATTAACACCTCGCGAGTCGTGACGACGGATAGTTGACAAAAACTTTATTCGCTCTAAACTGTGAAGTCTAAATGTCTAATCCCCCACTTTTCTAATTTTCAGGTATTCAGGATTTATTTCCTATAGTTGTAAGAAATGTGCGCGCATAACTGTTTGTTGTTTGATTGTAAATGCAAGAATCATGCCACGAATTGTGCAAAAAGGGCAATTTGGAATCGATGAAGAGATAATTAGTCTGGACACAATGTCAAAGAAAAATGATGATTTTAAACCACTTCTAGGGACTTTGATAAGCCTCAATCAACGGAATCCGCAATCGCTTTTTGAATTCTTCCAATCATCATGCCATATGTGGGAGCTTTAAACTTTGTTCGTGTCCTAAAACTTCCTACTTGTGGTGGAGCTAAAAATATACTTCGTACTATCTCCATCTCTAAATTAAAATCTTAGTTTGACTGCATACATAATAAGGAAATGAATTTAGTGAGTAAATTTTTTTGTAGAGTAAATTTTATTGCAGAGTACACTGTTTTGACACTGTTTAACACTGTTTTGCACTATTTGATATAGATTTGTTTACCTAATAAGGAAGTGAAACTTTAGTTTAGAGACATCTCAAAAAAAGTGTGAGACTTTAATTTAGGGATGGAAGGAGAAGTGAAAAAGAAAACTTTTTATTTTCTTTTTGGTCAATTCCACTAAGATACTCTCATGCTTCGTACAAATATGAAAGTTTATACAATTTTAAATCATTCTTACTTTATTTATATTTTATTAATTCAAAATCAATCACATAAAATCATCTTTTTAATAATTGTATCATCTTTTTTTAAAGATTGAAACTTTTTTTTTACAGATTATGTATAAGAATTTTTCCTTAGTGGGAAGGTGAGCCCCCCGCTCCTACCCGTCTTCATCATGCTATCTACCTTCGTCTAAGCTTTCCATAGATGTGTGGTCTCTCTAATGGGTCTGTTTTTTCATTTGTGTTTCTGAAAAGAAGAGTGAAAAGCTTTTTGGGAAAAGTGAATGTTTGTTGAAATTATGAAGAAAGACAGTAGTAGGATACTTTGAATTGGTCTGAAATATCCTAATTTGCGCTAATCTCATTTCATATTATGTTACTTTTCTTGTCGAGGACATATTTGTAAATAATGGTGTAATATACATCATATTATGGTTCACATATGAAATTTCATTTTCATTTTCCGTTGAAGTTATTGTTTTATTGTAACACATTTTTAAAATAATACTCCGTTATCATAATTGAATAAATCTAATTGGACCATGCATGCCGAACCATTACAAACTAGACAAAAAATGTACCAAAGTAGAGTGGATTACATCAAATGTAACTATGGAAACAATTACATTTTTTTATGTAGTCCACTCTAGTTTGGTACATTTTTTGCCTAGTTTGTAACGGTCCTGCATGCATGGTCCAATTCGATTTGTTCAATTCAATCTAGTCCTAGCAATCTAGTATGGCTTGGTCAAATTGAGTGTGGTAAAGTTTTATACAATTATTGATAACGGAGTATTATTTTTAAAATATGTGTTACAATAAAACTCACCTGGTAGGAAGTGATGAAATAGTGGGCTACACTATTTCTTCACTTATATCCATCATCGGGCTTACAATACCGATACCGATGATGGGTATAAGGGTCGGTTCATCACTAGATTCTGAAAGTTTTCACAATTTTATCTAGATTTTTTCAAATTTTATTTTTTAGAGCTTCTTAATATAAAAAACCTACTATACAGGTCAAAAACGGAATAAATGGTCAAATTGATCAATATTTAAACTAAATGTACTTATATGACTTTTTTTTAGTATAGTGGCTTAAGTGATGTATTCGAAATTATAGAATGACTTATGTGACCCTTATTTCAATAATAGTTTTAAGAAAACTGTTAATCAGTAGTGCCCGAAATAGAGAATAAAATGCATACAACCAAAGAAATAGGATCTTGTGAAGGATTTTGACCATCCTACAAAATCCAAATGAGGCCATAACAGCTGAGTAAGACCTCGTGCTGTATTGTTTTTCTCTTATCCTTTTTTTTGTTTTGTTTTTGTTTCAGCATAATGAGAATATTTAAAAAAAAGTATGAAATCAAAATGTTTTATGTTTTTTGTACTAGGCAATTTCCAAAAGTAGGATGATTCATATAATCATATAACTATGTAAGTACAGTTTTTTGCTCATACATGTATGTATAATTAATTTTTAGTTCATTAAACGACTACATCTAAATCTAGAAAATGGGCCCTCATATTCAAAGTTGATTTTATTGACTTAATTTAAGAGCACTCCATATTTCCATGTATAGGATCAGTCAAACTGGGTATGTCGTAGCTTCCCTAAGATGGAAATATTCTCCCATTTTCACCCAGAATGACCCACTAAGGATGTTTTTACTTGGACTGTAATTTGTCCCAGACCAGACCAGACCAGACCAGTCCAGACCAGACCAGACCAGTTCAGACCAGACCAGACCAGACCAGACTTGGATAGTTATAAAAATACAAAGAAACCAGACCTTACCAGACCAGACCAGACCAGTTCAGACCAGACCAGACCAGATCAGACCAGACCAGACCAGACCAGCAAATTACAGTCCAAGTAAAAACATCCTAAAGCACCAAAATGCTATCGGAAAAAGGAAATTAAAGAGATAACAAATCATGTGCCTAAATTAAAGATATGTTTTTAAATACTCAGTACATCTGTAAAACTAATACTACCTAAATAAATTAAGAAAAGGCATTACTATCTAAAAAATATTGATAGATTCCTCTCATTTAATATTTTCAAAACATGAAATTTTTAATTTTTTGCTAATAAAAAATGAAATATATTAATGGTTAAACTTGTATATATGTTGACAAATGTGAAAAGTGAACCGTTACAACTAAAAAAGAACGAAGAAAGTACAAGCATAAAACACTCGTAAAGAAAAATGCATCTCATTACAACTAAAAAAGGACAAGCATAAACATTCGTAAAGAAAATGCATCTCATTTTTAACGCTTAATGGCCATACCGCAATAATAATTCAATTCTTTTTTTCAATAGATTTTAATTGTAGCTTCTAAATGTTAAAATTTAAATATTTTAAAGGAAAAATTCACTATATGGACAGCAGTAACCACTGTCCCGCCGACGAACAAAATATATTATTCTTTAGTCATATTAAAATTAATAAGAAGATGCATATTAAAACTAAAGTTCATCCAAAAAAGTTCAATCTAATAGAAAATGTATTCATGATCTTATACGTAGTATATTATATTATTCTTTAGTCTTGTTAAAATCGGATTGTTTCTTTTTTATGTATCCTATTAAATTTGTTTCATACCATATTAATTATACTACATACTTTATTCACACCATCACAACTCAATATCAATCGTTTCATAGAAGTGGTAATGTGGTATTATATTGTTATATACTAATCCCTTGTGAAAATTTTCTTAAATATGAATAAAGAAGTCTTACACATTTTTTACTGGCTGAATTGTGGAGTAGCATACGACTCTCTTATGAGTCATATGACAGACATATCATATCCACTCATTTGTAATGTGGAACTCTCTACTATACAAATGAATAGCTATTGAGCAGCCACATATGTTCATATGACTCCATAAAAGAGTCATATGCTACTCCATAAATTTTTTTCATTTCTTACCATCATTAGTTGCTACAGATTAGGAGAACACTTGAAGCTCTGAATTGGAAAATATACAGAACAAAGATTAAACAAAAAAAAACACTACAGGGCAATAAAGGGAAACCTGTAGCGGCGGTCGTAGGGGGAGACGGTGAACCGGCGGAGCTGGACTCTGCAGCTGCTCCGAGCACCGAGAGAGGGGAGGATTCCGGTGGTGAGGCTGAAATGGCTGTCGTCTCTGGACAACTCTGTTTCCTGTGCTACGCCACACATCGGAGCTCCAAAAATGCCTCCTCTTCCTCTTCTTGTTCTGTTGCTTATAATATCCTCCGCCATTGTTGCTGTTCTTACAATGCCTGCATCTTTCTGCTTTTCCCTTTTAGCTTACAACTTTAATGATGCAATGTTCAGCTTTATATATCAAGATGTCAGATTTTAAATGAATATAAATCATAAATATGGCATGGATTGATATTCTTACCATAATGCCTTTTGCGGTAATCGAAAATTAGAAACTCAATCTAGAAACATAAGATACTTCCGTCCCTCCCATTAAATACTTTCCGTTTTGACCTGTAGACTAAACATTTATTAACTAGCTCTAAATTGCTAACAAATTATACTGCATTGCATACAAAGTAAATCCCGCCTTTGAGATGAAGCTTTATGGATTTTATTATGATGTTGGTATAGTAATTCTTGTTTAATACTTCGTAGTAATGACCAATTATGCAAGCTGATTCCATTACTAATAAAAAAGGTAAATTTCAAAAAACGATTGTTATGTTTTTCATTTCAAAAAGAAAACATTATTATCATTATCATGATTGAAAAAGATTGGTGAAAGATAAGGTCACACAGGGCCGGCCCAAAGGGTGTGTCAGCGGTGTGGCCGCACAGGGCCCAAATTTTCAAAAGCCCTCCTTTAGTATCACAACAAATAGAGCCCAATTTTCAGATTCGATGCTTCACAATTAAAAATTTTTAACACCAGGGGATTCAAACCCTGGTGGGTTTCTTACCCATGAGGACAGCAAACCGGCTCAACCATTAGGCTGTTGTTAACATCCTCTCAATTTGTAGTTTTATATCATATAAAGTATAACTAGAAACTCATTAGATTCTAAGCTTATATATGCCATTCACTACAATTATTAATATTAATTTGTAATTATAATTATAACTACTTCTATTTTTTATTGCATGTCATTATTAAATTAACAAACTATTAAATATGTATCAAATGCTCATTACGTCTATCAATTATATTGATGTTAGGGAATAGTTTTATTTTAACTATTGATTTATAATTCAATTTAACAAATAAATGAAGTGTATTTTGTTAGGGAATAGTTTTATTTTAACTATTATGTTAGTGAATAACTTGTATTTTGATATATATGAATTATTATTGTAGCAAATTTTTACAAATATAATCTTCACTTATATTATATTTCTACCTATTTTAGGAAAAGGCCTACATTTTATTTTTGCACAGGGCCCATATTTTCTTGGGACCGGCCCTGAGCTCACACTAACATTGGAAAAAGATAAGGTGACACGATTATTAAAATGTGAGTTTACGTGGTTGATATTAAATTGATAAAATAAGAATAAAGTAAAAATTATTTAGAACCACATAAACTTTACAAATTTAGTACTCCCTCCGTCCCATATTTATCTTCATTCTTTCATTTTCGGCTTGTCCCAAATTTATCTCCTTATTTTCTTTTTTAACAAGTTTTACCCTATCCATTTACCCTAATACCCTTATACATCTACCCACATTTATTACTCCTAATTAATCTAACCGGCCACCACCACCCACCCAACCATACATATCCCCACTTTTTACGCTCCTCTCTCTCATGCCTCACTGTATTCCTCTCTGGTCTCTTCTTGAACTTTCTCTCTTTCTTGTGATTACATACGCTCCTCTCTCTCCTCTGCCTAAACTTTCATCTTCTCCCCTCTAACTCCATCTTCCCATCTATCTATTCATCAACCATAGTTTCCATCTTCGAATTTGAGCAACCTGTGTGAAGTCTTCTCCACTGACACCAGATTTGAAATTGTAGATCCATTAATGGCGGAAAAAACCTCAATCTTGGTCTTGCATGGCGGTGCGGTGGTTGAAGACTCTGACGATGCCTCCTGTTGTCCTGATGTTGTCCCTGATTCCGAAGATGATCTGACATTCATGAGGATTGAAGACAGTGAAGAAGGAGATTGGAGCGATGGTGGCCAGAAAGTTGAAGTATTACAAGAGGGGTTGCAGTCGGACACTATGGAAACCAGGATTCCAGCCTCCATTCAGGCCATGGTTGCCATTTACCTTCGTCCTGTAGATACAACGACAGAGGAGTATTTTCCACTTGCGTATCTTCCTCCGCATCTAGACCCAAAAGTTCAACAGGGCCTTGATGAATTGCTTAAAATATGGCTACCTCTTTACAAAAAATGAGGGTCGTACATCCCTACTTACTGATCTTTTCATCTTCTTCTGTCGGTGCATGGACTTGTAATGTCCATTATATGATGCCTGCATATTTTCATTTGCACAGATGCTGATATGTGTGTCCTGTGATGGCCTAAGGTAGTCCCTGTCCTTATTCTGTGATGATATTTAAAGTCTGAGAGTCCTATTTGTCGATGCCTATGCGTGTGCCCCACTTTCCTATTGAAAGACTGCCTTAAGCATCTGGGATAATCATATTGAAAGACTGCCTTATGGATTCTGTGATGCATTATGAATTGTGAGAGTCCTATGTGTTGATGCCTATTTGTGTGCCCTTGTTGCCTAAGAGATGATTGTCTTAAGCAATCAAGATAATCCTAGGGAGGCTTAAGGGAGCTCTCTATGGATTATGTGATGCATTTTAAACTGTGAGAATCCAATTTGTTCATGGACTTCATGCCTATGTGTGTGCCCTTGTTTCCTAAGAGCTGATTGCCTTAAGCAGCCAGGATAATCCTAGGGAGGCTTAAGGTAGCCCTCTATGGATTCTGTGATGATACATTATAAAATCTGAGAATCCTCTTTTGCTTTGATGATGAAAGTCTGCATGTATATTCAAAAGATAAGACATGATGCCATCATAGCTTATGACAGTGTTGTTTGTGTACATTATTTATATGTGTACCCCAAACCCAAAAAGAAAAAAAATCCAAAAAACTATCTGTCTGTAGCTAGTACACACAAAAACTCAAAAACCCAAACATATTTGTGCCTTGTCTGCTTTTATACAAAAACCCTTTTACCTTTAATTCCAAAAACCATCTGCCTGCCACCTATTCCTCAGCATTACCACCCTCCAAGAATTGCATCACCTCTTTCACTATTGTTGTGTCTGCATTCATTGAAGTAGGTAGTGCCCTCATCCCTTCTAATCTGTCCTTACCAATATGGGGTATTTTGTAGTTGTTCCCACCCTTAGCATTCAAAATTTCATTCATACACAGTTGTAGTGATATCCATACATTGTTCAAAGTATGAGGGTTGAACTCTTCAAATGCTTTCCTCACCCCTGTCACCAAGTCTGAAACTGTTGAACTTCTTGTTGTTTGTTGTAAGGACTGAACTGCTCTAAAAAACCCTAGGTCTAGAACATTTACATCAAGACTATTAGTTGGTAGGCATGATAGTTTGATGTTAAATCCCTCACTAGTAGCCTCCTTCATGAACTCACTGTCATCAGGACTTATATGTGGCCTGACATTATCTTGTTGTATATATGTCCCCAGATGCATCAATTGGCCACTTGGCCACTTGGCCTTGATGGCAGGCAAAACTTTACTGATTAGGCATTGTCTGTAAATATCTTTTATTACACTGTCAATTGTCTTTTCTTCAATTGTCCCTGCAATTCTGTTTTTGCTGTTTCTTTTTGTTGGCCAAATGATGTGAAGGGAAAAATACCAATTTTCCCATCAAATAAGACTTGTGAGTCTTCTGATAACCTGGGCCTAGCAACAACACGGAGGAACATCACTTTGGTGATGAACATCTTGGACTTGCAAGTCCTGTGAGGTTCCTCCTCCCCTGGAAGCAGGTAGTACCTATTTGAGGTTTTGGTCATAAAAAACCATTTTTCATCTACATGCACGTAGTTAAACATGGGCTCATACACCGGTTGTGTTAACATTGATTCTGGGACAATGTGTGAAATGACTCATTGAAGTCTGTTAATCATGTTTGACTCAGTAAGAAAGGGTTTGATAGCATTTGTGTGTGCCTTTATTTCACCTTTTTGTATGAGTCTGTGCACAGTACTTTTTGATGAGCCCATGGCTGTAGCTAGACTCCTCATATTCTTTCTTTTATCAAGCTCTATTTCCTTAACATGAGCAATAGGTAGAACCTTTGTTTTTCTACCTACCTTTCCAGCCATCTGTCTGTCCACATTAATAGGTAAACCTTCATCTGACATTTCTTTACTTGTTTCCAAATGAATGAGATACACCTTTGTGACACATCATTTTCTATTGGAAGTGCAGTTAGAACTCCTCTGTTGAGCTTACCATTTGAGCAGTTGACGAGAAGATGATGCATGATCCGTTGCCTTGTTTCATTGGACAACCTTTTCTTTTTTGGAACAATTTCTGCCATTTGTTTGACCTTACCTCTTTGTTGTTTGTACTTTCGCTATTTTGAGAAAGGTTTGGTTGTATATATAGACTGAAATCTGTGGGGTTTTTATTTTTTTGGAGGGGGTGGACAAATTATTTGGAAATCCCGCCACTAGTTGGTTCTTGTGTTTTTGTTGTGGCCGCTACTTTTTAATTGGAGTACTGTACGTAGCAGTCCAAAAAGGCTGCTACCTTTTTATTGGAGTACTGTTTATTACCCCTTTCTTGGCTTATTACCCTTTTTCTTGGCTAATTTTAATGAGATTTCTTGAAAAGGTAATATGAGACAATCTTAACGGGATAAAGAGAGTACAATTAATGACTTCACTTAGGCTCCTTTAGGTTCATATAATTATTAGTTAAACCAACTTGTAAATAAAAAAGCCTTCATACTTACAATTACATTTAGGATACATATAACAACTCAACAATTACTCAACGAGGTTTTTCTACCATGAAAATTACTAAGACTAGACTACATTACTCTTCACAATAAGATGGAAGATATACTTTTGTATAAATCGTCTGCTAGTGTATGTTAAGAAGCAAATTGCCAAAAAAAATAGGGTGAACTCTTTTATAGATTATTCTCGTGACATGGAGGAGAGACATTCTAAATTTTAATTCACGTCACGTCAAATTATGTAATTATGAATAATTTAATTAAATATTATGACTCTGTAATACATAATTAGATGTTAATTACAATTTTTTTTACCCGGTTACTATTCTAACGATAAATGACATTCGCTTTAGTTGACTCACTCACTAATTTCTAGAAAGATAAAAGGTGAAAGAACGTAATGAGGACGCCATTGAGGAAGCTACTACCTTAAAGTGATTCCGCACATTCATAATCGTGAAGGAGGCAGATTGAGGAGTTCTATACAGCAACTAACATGATAGCTGAAATATACTGCGCTATTTAATTGCGCAGTTATCTCCAAAAAATCATTTGACAGCCTTCCCGGTTGAATTTTTAGCTGAAATTTGGTATGTGTAAACTACACTTAATGAAGAAGATACTCAAACAATCTCATCAAAATATTCCACCACGAACCGCCCCAAATGACGATGGCCGGAGAGAGCCTTCTAATTTAATGGAAAACCTGTCTCGAAGTTTTGAGCCATAAGCTTCAGGCACTAAATCCGGTGCATAAGTCTCGAGGTCAAAAAATTTCAAATTGTACTACTATCGAGGTGCCTGAAGCATCAACTACATCCATTATACTAAATCCGGTGACTACTATCGACTTAAGCATAAAAAACTATCGACTTCTGTATCGGGTGAACCGTATAAATATGCAGTCACTACATCCATTAGGCGCATTTGCAGCCTTTCAAAAACAGACATGCCAATAAGTTGAGTGCTTATTTGGTAGTTCTCCAACGTCTTTTTCTTTTTGCCAATTTGTCCTCAACTACGGTTGCTACAGACCCTCCGTCCTATTCCTCTCAATTTTACTTAGAAAAATAATGACCCATATACTACTATCGACTTAAGCATGGACGGAAATAGGTCCTAAATTCAATTTGGACAAAACTAGGACTAAATATTAGTAAATGGACAGAAAGTCCCTTCCTTAACCTTACCCATATTGTCTCTCGTCCGCTTCAGTCTTCAACAGCTTCGCTGTGGACCAGGTCGCCGCATCTCCTTCATCTGCTATTACCGCTGTTCTCTCACCGCAAATAGCTCCTCTCATCGCCAATCAGGTCCTCTCGCCGCAAATTAGCCCCTCTCGCTGCCGGTTTCTACGTCACTGTTGTGTTGCCGCACCTCCTCTTCGGCTCTTCTTCACAGTCCGCGTCACACCCTTCGCCGCCGCGCGCTGCCGCACCACGCCACCGTCTACTGTCTCCGACCGCATCCTTAGTTCTCTATTTTCTTCTTCTCTGTCTCTACCATCTTCCTCCGCCCATTGAAATCTAAATCCGCGACTGGGGTTAAAATCAGCATCAATTACAGCTCTTCAATATTTCGCAGATTCAGAATTGGGATGAGCACTGGAAATGTTGTGTTTCGATTTTGCAGATTCGATGTTAGATCTACAGTGGTGCTCGAATTTTTGCAGATTCTGGATCTAATTTGTACAGTGGTCGCGTTGCGGCGTCCACGGGAAGGGAGGGCATAGGGGGCTGAGGTGTGGTGGTGCCGGAGGGACAGGGTGTTCGGGTGTCTCAGGGGAGGGGGCTTGGGTAAAGCAGAGAAGGGGGATGGGGTGGGGGAGGGAAGGGGGCTTTGTTGAGGGAGAAGGCTGGGGTGTAGTGTTGGCGGCTGACGGTTGCTGGCGGTGGCCGAAAGTGAGTGTCGCCGGCGGCGGTCAATGGCAGTTGCTGGTGGTGGTGGGTGGTGTTGGCCAGCGGTAATTATTATCGGATCTAGGCAATTGTAAATGTTCGAACCCGAAAATTGTAACTGTGGCTGAACGGATCGGATAACTGTAACTGGACGAGTCGGGTAACTGTAAATGGACGGGTCGAGTAACTATAACTGGACGAATCACGTAACTGAAATTGATATAATCGAGTAACTGTAATTGAGCGGGTTTGGTAACTGTAACTGGACGAGTCGGATAACTGTAACTGGTAGACGATGGTTATTGTGGCAGTGGTCACTGCACGAGAATCACTATAAAAATTGATCACTGAGCGGATGTCACTTTGTCAATTGGTCACTGGACAAAAGTCACTACACATTTGATCACTGTGATGCGGGTCATTGGTGGGGCATATTATTTTTTGGTCACTGGATGAATTTTGTAACTATGTCATTGGTAACTGTAACATTGGTCACTGCACATTTGGTCACTGTGACGGGTTACTGTAGCAGGTCGGTGGGTTGGGCTTAGTAAGGGTGTAATAGTCCCTTAAGTATTATTTAGTCTTATTTTTGGAACTTAAAAGAAAAGTCTTTTTTTTGTCCAAATGCTTTTAATTAGTATTATTTGAGGACAAACCCCTTTTAGTTAACCAACACCTCCGCCACCAGCCCCATATCCGAACACACTGCTCCAACTCCGCATACTCATGCCCTTCCTCCCACCAATATAGACCACTTGACTGCTGCTACCAGGTCTTCCCATACTCTTGTGTTCCCTTCTGCCACTGCACCTGGAAGGCTGGAACCATCCCTCAAGACACCACTCACAGTACGTCACTCCCCCCCAATCTCATAGCAGTCCAACCTCAACACCACCCACATCATACATCCACTTCCCTGCCACGTCACAGCTGGATCAGCCCACTCCCAGCGCTAATTCTGGTGTTTCTTTGGCCAAATCTATCCCCTCGACCCTACCAGTCCATTCGACCCAGCAAGCCCCCGACCAGCATCTCTCATCCACCCAATCCCTTGATAATATTCACCCAATGCAAACTCCGGATAAATAAGGCGTTTTCAAACCCACATTCATTTTTTAATTTAAATAAATACGGTTGTTATGTTAGTTGATCCTACTTGTTTTTCAGCGGTCAATAAATTCTTAAAATGGCGTGAGGCCATGGTGCTCGGAATTTAATTCTCTCATTACTAATCATACTTGAGATTTGATACCGTTTGATAATTCTAAAAATATTGTGGGGTCTAAGTGAATTTTTAAGACAAAATTTCATTCTGATAGATCTATTGAACGCCATAAGGCTCGTCTAGTTGATCAAGGATTTAATCAGCAGGCCACCACTGGCTTTGCAGTATTTTTAGGCCCGAATCTTGTCTTTTGGAAGTCTAAAAAGCAGCCTACAATCTCCAAATCCTCCACAGAAGCAGAATATAGAGCTATTGCCTAGCGTGACATACACTGTTCATGACACGTTGCACATTCGTTCTATTCTCTATGTGCTCGGGTTCCCAGTTCGAGTACATGTTCAACTTTTTTGTGATAATATTTCTGCCTCTTATTTGACTGCTAATCTTGTTCAGCATGCCCGGAGCAAGCATATTTAGATTGACTATCATTTTGTTCGAGAACGTGTGGTTCACGTCGATCTGATTGTGAAGTATATTCCTACTCAATTACGTGGCTGATATTTTTACTAAAAGTTTATCTAGTCATCAATTTCAATTTTTTAAAAGACAACCTGAACGTTGCATCTCCCACACAGTTTGAGGGGTGCAATAGACTATCTATATCAGGAATCCTTTGTTTTTTGGGAAACTTCTCTTTATTATAACTATATCTATCAGGGCCCTCATTACGGTAACCTTTTTCATTATTTCACACCTAGAACCCCAAACCCGAAAATATTTTAAATTTGGCGCTTTCTTGTACCAAAGCTCATATGAGATTGTCTTGTTCCGTTTGTTAGGAACCCTATTCAAAACATAGCAAACCGTGAGCATGACCTCTCCCCAAAACCCTTCACTCAAACCCGCGCAGGAAAGCATGGAGTTAACCATTTCTTGTTAAAACTCGATCTTTCCGTTCGGCCACACCATTTTGTTGTGGTGTATATAGAGTCGTGGTCTCATGAATAATTCCAACAGATTCAAAATAATGGGAATCCATACATACTCTTCTCCGATCAATCCAAAGACAATTAATTAGATTACCCAATTGCAATTCAACCTCGATTTTATACACTTTAAATTTCTCTAAAGCTTCATCTTTGATGCGTAATAAATACACTTATACACATAACAAAACCGAGTTGAACCATCAATAAAAGTAACAACATACTTCTTATTGTCAAGGGAAGGAGTTGAATGAATATCACATAGATAAGTATGGACAAGATCTAAAATAGCTGAATTCCTCCTAATATTAGGAAACGATTGTTTTGTGATCTTAATAAGCATGCAAGTCCTACACTTATCATTATTAATATCAAAAGCTTGAATTAAACCATCTTTAAGCATTTCATGCTTTTTTCTAATATTAACATGAGCTAGTCTAGAATGCCAACTCATACATTCATTAATGGAAAATGTCACAAAAACAGAATAATCACTATAAATTAATTTATTCACAACAT